TATTTTATTATCACAGAGCTTAAGGAAAAATTGGCTCTTAAGAAAGGTTAAAAACCTTTAAAGTGAATTCTTCTGTTTGGTTAAAAGTACTTTTGATTTAATACGATCCATGTGCAATGCGGGCCCGGCCTCCTCCCCCTCGGGGAACGGGGCGATCGATGCCCACGGGACAGGGACAGGCAGCGATTTCTGCCCCAGTAGGACGAGTTTGGGGCGCCCTGTGCCAGCTTTCCTCCCATCAAGAGACTCCCTCACTCTGTTCTCAGACAGCAATTCCCAGATTTTTAGACAATTAATACAGGGGAAATGAGCGGGCACACGCTCCCGAGGTTGTTTCCCAGCCCGGAGGAGCAGTCACTTGTAGCGGGCAGGGCTGTACGGACACGCCGGCTCCTTTCCTCAGGAGCAGCCTTCCAAGGGAAAGTTCAATCCTATTTTCCAAGCTTAAACAGAAGCTTTGGGACAGATCCTCCATAGCTTGAATATTATCTACAGATTACAGATGGAATCACTGGGAATGAGCTGTGCCTTCCCCATGCCACAAGCCAAAATTTAACTCAGAGGGAAAATACAACCCGAAACCCACCGAACGCCGTGGTACAAACCAGCCATGAAAAGAGCCCCAAAATAGGCCACATTAGTAAAAGCCAGTTGGAGTTTAGCAAAGAGAGAGGCAAAATAAGGGCTAAGCCATTGTTTCTGCTGCCGAAGACAGACGGACTTTAATAACACTTAACAGAATGATGCACATTAACGATCTCAGAAAGCACTTCTTATGCCTCATCCATCATGCGGAGGAGAAAATGAAGCCTTCGACAGCATTAGGAATTATTCTAGATCTTGTCAGTAATTCGCAGCTTCTCGGTAGTATCGTAACACAAATTTGTGTGGATGAGACACTGACCATTAATCTAAGGGGCTTTTTTCCCCTCGCCGCAGCGTGCGGAGAATGTATCAATTGTTTCATGGAGAAATTTCACAGCTGAAACCTTACTAAATAAAACAGGGGAGAGGAAAGAGATATAGACAGAAACATAAACAACTGCAACACGGAGACAAATCATTATCTTTAAAACAAAACCCACCATAAAATCTCCATATGTGTGTTTTGTGAATGGGCAGCGAGCAGCCTGCTGCTCTGAAAATCCTCAGAATATGCTGATTATAAAGTTATGTTCATACACACAAACACACTTAGATTTCATTTTCTGGGAGGCTTTTTTCCCTTTTTTTTGTCTTTTTTTTTCTGGAGTGTAGGCAAAAAATCCCGATTTCTCCTCCCAGGAGAGCAGCGTATTTTAACAAATAGTAGCAAAATAAATTTCAAGACAAAATGCCAGGCGGCTAAATAAACAACAGCTTTTGGCAACCTCTTCCCTGAGTCGCAGGCTGCTGTTCATCGTGTGATAGCTGTTGCCACTGGAATCTCTACTACAAAGGGAAAGGTCCATAAATATTTGTACAGCAAACTCCACGGAAAAAAAGGCTCCCCAAGTGCGCTCCGCACTCATTTCTCCCCGTGCGATGTAAAGATGAAAGCTAATGAGTTCTATGGAGTTTATGATAAATTAAAAGTCGGCGCTCCCCGCCCCGGCCGCGTGTTTACACGGATCTGAGCCGCTGCTCCCCAACAAAACACTTGTCAGACAGAATGAGGCGAATTCGCCTCCGGATGTGGAGGAGCTGGATTGTCTCAGGGACAAAAAAACAGATAGGATTTGATCAAATACTAATCAGGCAGCAATAATGCAGTATCCTAAAACACACCCTATTTTATCTCCATTGAAATAATGACATCTATCCAAAAAGTCCTCAAAGAAACTTGGGTTTAGGTAATATATTGTGATTGCAGCAGATAGGCAGGATTAAAATCAGGCTTGATCTTCAAAGAGAATAAGAATGTATAGTTCTGTTTACTGCACACATATTTGTATATAAAAGATATGACAAATATTTTGGGTTCTTTAGAAACCTGCATTTCTGTATTTTGAAATTCTACAGAGCAAGTGCTGGGAAAGGGATTTGACAGTCCCAGGTAATAGAAGCAAATTAGAGATTAAACTCATTAGAAATTATAAACACTCATATAGTCTGTTAAACCCCCTGACAAAACCTGGAAATTAGAAATCCAATAACGCAGCATCAATAGGGTCTTTAACGGCTGGACAGATGTTTAAACTGCGCGATGTTCGTGTCAGGAGTGAGATGGAACAGCCGGAATCGAGGTTTGCATTAAATAACACGGCATTGATGTCGGATCAGAGCATTCGTGTGAACTGGTTTGATCCTTTTTTTTGCCATTAATTTCCATTCTCCTGTTACGGTCTAGATTTGTTGTTCATTTTGCATAGTATTAAACATTTTTCTTATTTGCAAATATGCAGATGAGGGAGGCAGCTCTGAAAGGCAGAGCAGGGCTGGGTCCGAGGGGCTGCTGACCCCCGGGGCTGCTGCTCCACAACATAAACGTAAAAACACTTTCAAATAAAATATTATCTGCAAGCTTTAATTTTTTGGCTTAATTAATTAAATTACAGAGGAAACTATTGTGAGAACAATCACTTCACTAAGAGCATCTCAATAAATCCTGAGGAACGGGCACTGGGATAGCAAAAGCAAAATTGTTTGCGTTCCTAATGTTGGGTCTGACCTGGAAAGGATAACAAAAGAATCTGGCATGAATATGTATTTTATAGGGAGTGTTGCTGGTAAACAGACTGAATAAAAGAGAGGGGATTATTTTAAAATAGTTTCTCCTTAACTTTCAATATGTTTAATCTGATGATATGAAAAACCATCCATAAAGCAGAAACACATTCAGCCCCTACAAAATTCTGTACAGAGCAGTGAAAAAGCAGACGGATTTCAGCAGAAGAAAACAAACAAACAGCAGAAATCCTGCAAAGCTCTGGCGTCTCCCGCACCCGCTGCTCTCCAGCGCCGAGATAAAGACCCAATCTGCTCATCAAACACCTCCGGGCTCGGCCATCTAATAGGAACAAATTGGCAATGACTGCCCAAGCAAGTAACACAGGCCCACTGATTTGTAGATTGATACTGATGCCTAATGATCCCCTTGGGCAGATCAATAGCAACAATCCTCATCCCTGCCTTTCTTCTTTATTGGCACGGCGGAGCAGGCGGGAGGCCGTGTGTGCACACGGGGACAGGTGTGCAGGGCCGGGGCACCAACGCCCCAGACAGCCCCGCCTGGGCCTGTGCTGAGGGCTCCCGGGCTGCCCCTCACAGCCACACTCCCCTGGGTGCGGGGCCCTGGCACGAGGTAGTAGTGCTGGGTGCCCCCAGTGTGCAGCCAGACACACACGGGCACCCGGGACCGGCCCACTGGATAATGGGAGAAAACCCAACACTGCCAAACTGGGCTGTCTGAGAGCTGAAGGCCAGCGTGGCATTGGGTGGCACAGCCATGGGGAGGTGGGACACCGGGCACAGTTTGGCAGAGCAGGGCACACGGGCGGGTGGTTTATCCTGCTGTAACCGGGGTCTCACCTGTTCCCTCCTCTGTCTCTGAGTGCACCACAGTAGGATCAGTCAGGCAATTCCAGTGCGGGGGTTTGATTCACTCACCCACGAGTCACTTTCATCTGCTTCCTCCAGCCCCACCCCTCACGAGAATTAGGGATTTTCTATTTATTTATCAATCTAGTGAATACAGTTATCCTATTAGTAAATCCTTTTAAAGTCCCTGGTAATACCTAAGAAAAACTAATGGACTTGCTTTGCATTTATTTTTTTTTCCCAGTGAATTAAAGCCAGTGATGTTGTGCAGACCCACATGTGGTCATTCCCACCTCGGGGTGCTGGCAGACATCCCCAGCAGTGCTCCACTCCCCTGGAAATCGCTCTCTCTCTCCCTGGAATAACCAAGTATAAACCTAAGACTTGATCAGGTGTACGCAAATCACCAGGCAGGCAAACGGAGGGGAAGAAAAATGTACTACTAAGTTTGTCCTACTAAATATGAAATCCTGACCTTGCATTACCACGTGTGCCATGTCACGGGCAGCGTCCCCAGCCCTGCTGCACAGCCGGGGGTGCTGCCGTGGCCCCGCGAGGCGCGGGGAGCGCAGGCACCGGTTTTAAATCCTATTCACACCCGAGATCTGCTTTGTTCAGCAATCACCCGGCCACTCTTATTCTTCGTGGCTCTTTTATTAAAATGTGGATAAAGCAAAAGGCAAAGGATAAAATTAAATTCCATTGACTGTAAATTTCTAAACCATCCCTCCAATAAAGGCTTTTCCTTTAATAACAAAAACGCCTTTCCCATCTTTTTGCCGATCTCGGCGTGTACTTGCAATAAAAACGGGGCCGCGTGGAAACCTTTGTAACTTGACCCCTCTAGTGCATAAATTAATCATTTTCCAAATCCTGTCTTTTCTTTCCTTAAGTTCCCGGGCGCAGGGGTCACACCCCTGCCCAGCCCTGACCATTGCAAAATTCAAATTCCCGCTAATGATGAGAGTAATCATCGCAATCACCATCACCATCATCGCCAGAAAGCGGGGTCCTGTTGGCCCCGACATCAATCAGCAGCACGGGGGGCACCAGCCACCCCCCTCGGTCCATTCCCTGAGTGTCCGTGTCCACCCCGCTCCGATACCGGCCTCGCACCTCTGCCGTTCCCACTGTGGGACGGGACGGGCAGGACAGGACAGACGGGACGGGGTCTGTGCCCCCCATGTCCCCACGTCCCCTTGCGCTCCCCCGAGCCCCGCGTGGGGAGGGAGGAAGTGAGGAGGGGAGGGAGGGGAGGGGGAGCAGCCGCACGTGTGACGCGCCCGGCCGCCCATTTGCATATTCACATCAGCGCCGCGCCCACTTAAGCAGCGCGAGGCGAAGGTGTCTCCTCCACCCACCCACCCACCACCCACCTCCCACCACCCAGCTCACCTTCCCTCCCGCTCCCCACAGCCGCGCTCCCACCCAAAAGCGAGGGCGCGGGGGGCCGGGAGGAGGGTGGGCGCAGGCTGCCTTACCTCTGCTCCCGCGCTCCCAGGGATTCCCCGTGGTTCCGCCAGGAATTTTGGAGAGCCATCCTTCAAGGGTTTTTAGTTCTGTCTTTCTCTCTCTTCCTCCTCCTCCTCCTCCTCTTCCCGTGTTGTGACTGGGTTTATAAAAAAAATAAAAAAGACAACTCCATGTAAGCTCGCAGCCAGGGCACGGCGAAGTCTGGGGCTCCGGGGGGAGGGAGCAGCGGAGGGAGGGTCACAGCTCCATGCCTTACAAAAGGCAACCCAAAGCCTGGATATTTTTTTAATATCCTACACAAAACGTCGTGCACACATACACGTAAGGCGGGCGCCGGACCTGGCGCTAATTAGGTTTTTGCCAAAAACTGTCGAGGTTCAGCCTGTGACGCGAATAAATGCAATGGGGCTGGGAGTTCTGAGCCCTCACCTGCTCCGAGTGTCCCCAGTGCTCAGCCCTCACCTGCCCCCAGTGTCCCCAGCCCAGCAGCACGAGGTTTTATGGGGCGCGCCGAGAGCGCCGCGACACCGGGGACCAAGGGTCAGCCATAACCACACGGCACCGACCTGGACTAGTTCATTGCAACACGAGTGGTATTCGAGGGGTATTTTTTGCACAAATTAATGTTACTATTTCACAGCTCCAGTCACAGTGGGGAAAAAGGAAAAAAAAATAAATAATCAGGGTTGTGTATCCCCTTGCCAACGTCACGGAAACGTCCCTGCAGTGTGCCGGGACAGGGCTCCAGGAGCACAGGCCTATTGTTCCAAGGACACGGCTTTTGTGAGCGGGGCAGCACAGCCAGGCTGGAGCAGCCTGCTCTGAGGAGGAGAAGGAGGAGGAGGAGGAGGGAAGCCCTTGCACAAGCACACCCTGCACCGCAGCCACTGCTTCACACCCTCGCATTAGATGTTTGCTGAAAATACACGGTGCACACATGTGGCACTTTTTTCCAAACATGTCATTACTGGGAATGATTAAGGGCTTCGTTGCTTCCCAGTGCAAGGTCTCGGCTCCGACTGCTGACTGATGGTTGAATTCCCCCATACACCTCGCAACGTGATTTTAGCACGAGGACCGGGGGAAAAAATGTACTTTATTAAATGTTTTTCGCACGCGGAATATTTAGGAAGGGTCAAATTTATTTTTGCAATTGGCAAAAGCAAATTTGCTCCTAAGCTGAACCGTCGTGAGTCGTGTTTCATCCTGGAATACACTTTTATGGAGAAGTTATAAAGCCCTGAAATATGTGTTGTCTCTCAGAAATGCTGGGATGCTCCATCACGGGGAGCCGAGCGGTGGGTCCGGGCGGTCCCTCCGTGTGCGTGGGGAGCGAGGGAGCGGCGGGGCCAAGGCAGACAATGGGAGCTGGAGGCAAGGAAGGAGGTAGAGGGGGGTCTGCCTGAGCCCCCCCCCGTCCAGGAAAGCAGGTCACTCCTTATCAACTGGGTAAGCAAACGCCAAAACAAAGCGTGGGGCTGGATTTTGACGAGCCAGACAAGCTTTCTTATAAAAAATAATTTCCCTGCCTTTGTTTCTCCTCTTCTCCTTCAAAGCAAGGGGGAGAGCAGGCTGCTGTGTTCATGCTGGCTTTCCTAGGGACAAAACGTGATTTTTAAGAATCTGCCCCCCAAGAATAAGTTACTTGTCCTCCCCTCCCTAAAAAAAAAAAAGAAAAAAAAATCTTTGACAAGACTCAAAGGGTCCCTGAAATAAAGAAGAAAGAAAAACATCCAAAACATTAGACACAGAAACATTATATTTCAATATTATCATATGAATTAAATGTAATCCTTGAAGCGACTCGTCCCAGGGGTCACATATTAGGCCATTTTTTTCTTTTTTTTTTTATTTAATAGAGGTCACCCAGGCTGAAAAGCAGAACCCAAATGAAAAGCATCTTCAATGTGGTTATAACACGAGCTGGACGAGGTCAGGCAGTGTCTTGTATGGCCTCATAAAAAATACATAACCAGACAGCCTAATAGTATTTCTTTGCATTCATTTTTGGATGGGAACTGGCGGGTGGGGGAGGGGGCTGGGAGAGGGCCACAACCGAGGGTGCATTTCCATAATGGGCAGCTTCTCCTACGTTCCAGTTAGGAAAAAAAGGAACATTCACTTTAACACATCCCTGGGTTAGCTTTAAAAAAACATCCTACAGACAATTCCTATGGCCCCTAAAAGGTGAGGGAGGGGTTTAGCATCGCCCCCTCACACACAGAAACACACGTGTTCATTTTGGGCACATTACCATCATGTTTAATTGAGAGTGCAACCACCTTGGTCTTGCTTTCATCAACAATGGCTTATGGATGTTGTTATTTGTCCATACACACACCCAGGCTGATTAATTTGAATTATTTCCCTTCTGAAGGGAAGCAGAGGAACACCCCATTCTGAGATGTCCCTTTATCTGCGCTCAGTGGGGAGGGGTCCGCCCAGCACCAGGATTTACACAGGTCTTGGGTGGGAGAGGGGGCAAGAGAAAGGCAAAGCGTAAAAGGCGAGGAGGGGTGTGTGTAAATAAAAATAACCAGTGCTAAAAATGCCGGGTGAGAAGAGAATCTCTAAATCCCGGCTCCCTTCCCCCTCCCCAAATGCCGCCTGGAGCCGGGTGACCCTGCGGGGAGCGGAGCCGCAGAGGTGACCCGATGCTAACCAGCCTGTTAGAACTAATAAGGTGTGCGCCTAAGCCAGGGGCTGACACTGGGGCATTGTGGAAATAACTCTCCTTGTTATTGCCCATCCTCAGCTTGAAATTTACTGCTCCTTTGCATTATTAAAGAGACAGCTTGCGTGCGCGATGGGGGAGAGGCTGGGCAGGAGGAAGAGCCGCACACGCTTTTTTAATGGTATGTTTGTGCTCTCTCTAGTCTTTAGATTCAGATTCGGAGCATTAAAGCATGCTGGGTTAATAGGTTGCTATTTATTATTTGAATAAAATCTCGTTCATAAAAATAAAAAAATTTCCTTTTTCCCTCCATGGCAAATGGTCAGAAAATGGGAAACATGTGAAACGTCTCAGAGAAGGTCAGGCCGAGGCCTTGTGGGACAAACCCGGCCCCAAACGTTTCCAGTAGCACTGCTCTGCATTTACATCAGATGTGAGCAGAGCTGAAAACATCCCAACATGGTGGATAACAGGGACTGCAAGATGGAAACACAAAGGCACCCGCTGCAGCGTGGGTCCATCCCCAGCAGGGCCATGGGAAGGGTGTCAGAACACACGGAATCATTGGGGGATTCCGCATTCCGTAAATACGGAGCTGTTTGGCATCAGCGGCTGTAGCGAAAGGCAGAACTCAAAGATGGACGTGGGAGGAAGAATCTGGTGTTTGTCTCCATCCCTGCTCCCACAACTCCCCTTCCCCCTCCTCCAGCACCCATGCTCCACCCGCTCAGTTGATTCCCTCAACATTCCCAGGATAACGGGAGGAATTCCCCAGAGTGGTTCCTGCCAGGTTCCTGCCGAGGAGGCAGAACATCAACTCCACCATGTACATTTGACCCTGAGAGATCAGATTTTACAGAAACTGAGCTGAGCTACTCTTTCAGATGCTTTTGCCATCTCTGAGACAGTTTTTATGGACAGGCATTTTCAACTTGATCCTTGAGGGGCTGGAGAGCCTGTTTGGTGCTGGCCAGGGGCACGGGCAGAGCACACAGCTGCCAGGGGAGCCCCCCAAGAATTAGGACTCAAGTATTATTAATTTTCTGCAGAAAAGCGGCTGAGTGCACGTGGGAGACATCACTGAGAATGGGGATCAATGATAAATAACATCCTCAAGGTAAATACAGAACAGGATTGAGCCATTCATGGCAACTGGCCGAGCCAAGGGCAGCTTCCGACCGGGCTGAGACAACGGGGTGGGTGGTTTATTGTCGGGGATTCCATGGAATCAGCTACTGGAGGGATTTGAGAGAATTCTTAAGAGCACATGAGAGCCACAGCAATTCTTGGGCTGTCCAAGGCAACCGGTTTTCCTGCATGTTCAGAGACAACCCATTCTTCTGAAAGGTTAATGTGGGCAGCTGCTGGGAAGACCTGGGATGACAGCAGGAATCAATGATGGAAATGTGATGAAATACATATAACTGCCATCACACACTGAAAGAGTGTAAATACACACACACACACACACACATATATATATATGGTCCTGAACATTCAGGGACCAGAGAGCAGTTCTGAAAGCAGGGTGGGGTTCGAAATGAGACCCAGAGCAAACATGAACATGTGGTAGAGACAGGCTGGGCACCGGGAGGAAGATGCAGTGTCTTTCTCGGCTTGTGCTCTCGGAGAGCTGGTGTGTCCCACAGCACCTCTGAACAGGTCCCAGCCTGAACATGTCCATCCCTTCTGTTCCAAACCACCCTCCCCCAAGCACAGAACCAGTGAGAGTCAATGTGACACCAGTGCACAGAGGAGGCTGAAACACTGAACGTTGCCGTACATTTGTGGGAACAAATTACAGACAAAAAGCTCAAGAACAAGGGGTAACTGCCAGCTAAGGCAAGGAAACGAAATCCAGGCTGATAGTGCCAAATATAAACAAGGAATTAAAACTGATACCTAGAGAAGAGACAAACCAGAAGCCTCACTGCCCCCTCTCAGTTATTCCCTTCCTGGCATCCTGGTTTTGTGAGTCAACAGAAGCAGCCAAGTGAGTCCTATCGGCATCTGAATGTACAGATATTACCAAATCCTCTGTGCCCAAAGGATAAAGTAACTTTTATCAACACACTGTTAAATGGCTGGATTTGCCTACATTGTATTTCATCATTTTTGCATATGCACATTTTTAATCCTATCCCTCCTAAAAGGAGTAATAACAGCAAGAAACGTGATGCTCCATATTTTAGTTGGAATATCGAAACGTTTTAGAGTAAAATCAAAGGTGTGAAGACTCAGAGGACTGTGTTAAGCAGCTCTTTTGCTCAGCCTTCAGGTGGTAAAGCTTAAGTAACGAGTGTATTAGAACCGTGACAACACTCCACTGGATTTAAAAATACAATTTTCAGAACTGATTGCCAAACTCTGATCTCAGGAGCATGCCCATTTTTTTCAGTCCTACCAGCTGATCCCACAGAAAGTACTATTTCTCCTTATAAAACTGGGCAAAGTCAGGCAGC